GGTTCGGTTGGCGAAGCCGTCCTTGTTCGCGATTTTGATCGCATATTGGTTGTCGCAGAGGAGTGAGAAGACGGGCAGGGTCGCAATCTTCGCTTCCTCAAGCAACTCTCGTAGGTAGAGTCCTTCCTTGGTCGCAGTACAGAGGGCGATATATTCTGCTTCAGCCGAAGATAGTGCGATTAGTTCCTGCTTGCTCGACTGCCAGGAGATAGTCCCGATAGGTTCTAGTCGGTAGATGTAGCCCGTTCTCGATCGTCGATTTCCCTTGTCTCCCGCGTGGTCGGCGTCGACGTATCCGAGTAGTTGTACGGATGATGCCGTTACTTTACTGTAGGTAAGCCCGGTCGTCGGCGTGGACACGAAGTAGAGTAGTGCCCGATTAAGTTCCTCGAGATCTTCTTGTTCCGACTGCTTCAGATGCGTTGCCAGTTGGCTCGCGCTATAAGATAGATCGGGGCGGCAGGTTACTGCTGCGAATAGTAGGCAGCCGAGCTTCTGCTGATACTCCTGGATTTGCTTCGCGGGGAGTTTTGCGGAGGTGCTGCTGTTGTTCCCGTAGCGGTAGGGAGTCGGGACCGTAGTCGACGTTAGACCGAATTTCTTCGCGACAGTGCCTGCGTATTTTCCAGCGTGTAGGTAGAACGCCGAGTTGTCTTCGACGACATTCAGTCCCAGGTACTGGGTCACTGTGTCGGACACTGTGAGTGTGAAGTCCCCTTTCAGCTCCCCTTCGAACCAGGTAGCGATGTCGGTAGTGGAACCGATGTAGAGCAGATCGTCGACGTAAACGATGAATAGGATATACTCTCTTCCCTTCTGCAGTCGGTACATGCCTTGGTCATGCGGCAGCTGTAGGAATCCGATTTTTACGAGGCGACCGTGAAGATGCTGCTGCCAGAGCCGCGGGGCTTGCTTGATACCGTAAAGGGATTTTATCAGCTGGCATACTTTTGTGGGGTCGTCGATGAATCCGTGGGGTTGCTCGACAAAGATCTCAGCGTCCACAGGTGCGTACAGGAAAGCATTTGCGACGTCGATTTGGCGCAGTGATAGTTTCTTCGTGGCCGCGACGGCGAGTAGGATGCGCAAGGAGGTGTGACGGGAGACTGGGGCGAATGTTTCTGTGTAGTCGGTTCCGTATCGTTGATCGAACCCTCGTAAGACCCATCGAGCCTTGAATCGTTCGATGGAACCGTCCGCATTGGTCTTGATGCGGTACACCCACTTTCCCGAGAGGACGTTCTTCCCGTTGATGCTTGTTGCAGGTACCAGCTTCCATGTATTTCGGTCTTGCAGAGCCTTTAGTTCCTTTTCCATCGCCTCCTTCCATTTCGCCTTATGTTCCCCCCCCAGAGCCTGTGACAGAGTCGTGGGCTCGCGCGGAGATGGCGGCGGTGGATGCTGGACGGAGACCCATAAGCCGAGAATTTGCAGTCCCGTGGGTGTGTGTCGAGGGGAATTTTTATTCCCGGAATAGGCTGCTTCGTCACCATCTTCTGGATCAGGTAAGAAGTTTGGGCCGATGCGTTCTGAGATGTTCGTGTCGACCGGGTGAGGTGTAACGTAACCTTGGTCAGCGAAGTGATAAAGGGTGTCGAGATTGTTGCTATCGAGAGGATTGTCGTCGTCGAGTGGGACTGGCACGGAGCAGTAAGGGAGTGGTCCGGCAGCTTCCGAAGCTCCAGGTACGTCTTCTTCTGCTGCGTCAGCTTTGGCAGCATGGTCAGCGAAGGAGCGAAGGCCTGCGACACCGTCGGTGGGGTCTTCTATGTTGGCGACGTTGTCCAGGTAATGTTGCAGCGTCAGTCATTCGTAGAAGATCACATCACGTGATGCCACGGTATTTTTGTCTTGTATGTCGAGGATTTTCCATGCTTGAAAATGTTGTGCGATGCCGAGGTGTAGCCCCCATCGTGCTCGTTGAGTGAAACGTCCTGCTCTGGCTGTGTGGGGTCTGTACTGTACCATGCAACCGAAAACCCGAAGTAATTTTGTGTTGCCCCTTTTTCGTGTCCACAGCAGGTGCGGTGATGCGTTGTTGGGGAGCGATGACGAGGATAGCAAATTGTGCAGGTGGACTGCATGGGTCATCGCGTCTGGCCACAATGCGTTGGGCAGTCTCATCCCCATGAGCAGCTTCCGCATCGTCGTCTGCAAGGTCCGGTTCATTCTTTCAGCGACCCCCTGTTGCTGGTGAGCGTAGGGTAGAGACACCAGGCGTCTGATTCCTCTCTCCGCCAAGTAGGTCCTGAATCGTTGTGACTGGTATTCTAGTGCGCCGTCGGATTGGAAACTCTTGAGCGTAGTTCCTGATTCTCGTTCAGCGATTGGGAGCCACGTCGTGAAGGCTTCAAAGGCTTGATCTCGCGTCTTGAGGTTGTAGTGCCAAACGTATCTTGTTGCTGCATCGATAAAAGTGATGACGTAGTTGAAGTCGGCTTCCGTGTCGTCTCGAGGCATGTTTAAGATGTCGCTGTAAACATTTTCCATCGGTGCATATGCAGGCGCACTTGGATTGTGATGTGATGGGAAGGGTTGATGGGGAAGATCTGCTTCGGGGCACGTGAAGCACCGTGCGCGAGGTCTTCGAAGTTCTTGGCCGCTTGTTGTAAGAAGAGCGTTTCGTTCTAATACTTCGGCTTGGATTGTTTGTAGTACGGTGCTGTTTGCAGGATGCCCAAGACGTTGGTGCCAGATGTTGTCGGAAGCTCGATGGCCAGGCGAACGTTGGTACATGTCGGTGTTGGAGAAGAACGCGACGACCGTGGCGGGACTTCGGCAGACTTCTCGTGTGATGGGCATAAGTTGATCTGCTTCGATTGGCGGTCCTCGGATCGCTGCTGGTGGTACTCGGCTGGGTCCTGCTGCTGCTACTGCAGGTGATGGTTGGGAAGGGACACTTGCTGGTACTTGTCTTTCTTGTCTGATGACTGCTAATGCTCGTGTTCTCTCTGTTGCAGGTATGGTGTTGGAGTACTAGAATCCATCGGGGTTGAAGGCGGGATCAAGATCCGGCGGGTGTGTCCAGGCGGCGAACGACACAATCCCATCGCTGTCGGCAGTACCGCGGTCGGGGACGAAGTCCAACACGAAGACGCCGAACTTCAGGAGAGCACGACCGATGAAGAGGCCGCCTTTCCCGTGGTAAAGACGAAACTCGTTGGAGTCCGAGTGGCACTCCAGGTGAATCCCTTTTGCTTTTAGCTGGTTGACGCTTAGCAGATTGTATCCCAAGTTGTCGACGATTAGGACATTGTTGAGTTGCAGGATGACATTTGTTTTCATGGACTGTAACTGAACCACTCCTTGTCTGTTTGTTTTCAGGTTTTCGTTGTTGGCGACGGTGATGATGACGTCGCGGTTGAGGCGTCGTTCTCGTTGCACGAAGCGTCCAGAAGAACACATGTGTTGACCGTAGCAGCTGTCCAAGAACCAGGTGTTTCGCGCGGTGGGTTCGGCGTTGGCGACCGCAGCGTATGTCGGGTTGACCTGAAGTCCTTGTGAGCGCGGCGGCGGGAATTCTTCTTCGTCTGGCGCGTAAGTGGGTGGTGATCTGGGTGCGCAGTTGTCGATGTGTACCATGCAGTTGATGATGTTCGGTGTCCCTTGTGCAGATGTGGTAGAACGCCTTGGAGGGCTTTCTTGAGTGGAGGCGACTTGTGGGTCTACTGGACGATAGACACGAGGACGTGTGCAGTTGACTTTGGAATGTCCGGATGTTTGACAGTTGTGGCAGAACGGCGGCACGATGGTGAGTCCTCTGTTGTCGCGTTGATCTTGCTTGCCGCGTCGATTGTAGTTGTTGTCGTTCCTTCGTTGAGTGTAGAAAACTAACTGCTGCTGCTTTCTTGGTTGTCTTTCTTCGAACAGGTCCATCTCCTGTTGTTCAGCATGAAGCTCGGCGCAGAGGTGCATCTCCGAGATCCTTCCGTGGGCGCGAAGAAGCGAGCGTGTGGTTCTCCATTCTGGCCCGAGCCCGGCGAGGACAAGCGTCACGAAGCTTTCTTCAGTGATTGTTCCTCCGCACCGAAGCAGGCGGTCGCGGAGTGTTTGGCATCGACTCATATACTGCATCGCCTTTTCCCCGGTCTTCATTTGTATTGTTGTCAGCTGCTGCATGAGTCTGCTTTGTGTCACGCTGTCGTTTGCTTGATAGAGACACTTGAGGTGATGCCATGCGAGTTTCGCGGAGTTTCCGTAGCCCCGATATGTTCTGATGCTTTGTTGTTCTTGTGCTGATAGGTTCCACAGGAGAACTGTGTACGCCAGCAGCGACTGATACGTAAAAATTTCTTGCTCCTTTCCAGTGCCGTTGCTTGGGAATGGCAGGGACCCGTTGAAGTATCCCAAGGGATGCGCAGCCTCCATCAGCAGCTCGAACTCAAAACTCCAGGTAAAGAAATCGTGTCCGTTGAATGGTGAGGATGTCTGCAGTTTAATCACGTGTGAAAACTGCACCTGGAGACTTAAAATCTCGTTTGGTGTTTGTTGTGATGCAGCTGCTGTTGGTTGGGCACGGGGCGGCATGAACTCGAACGTCCCCGGTGAAGAGTGATAAGGCGCAAAGGTAGGCGCTTGATTGTGTCGCCCGAACGATGAGTTGTCAAGGCTCATCGGCGCTAATCCCATGTTTCCTCCGTTGCTCTGTGTTGAATGCGCAGGTGTCCTTGTCTGCTGCTGCTGGTCGAAGTGCGACATGAAGCTGAAGAACCTTTCCATAAGGTTCGGATCCACGCTTGAAGAGGGTGATGGGGTCACCATTTCCGGTGCTCTTCCTGTTGTTTCTTGAGCAGCGCCAGTCTCGGTTTGCAGTCCTGAAGTGTGCAATCCAGAGTTGCCAGGTTGAGTGTCTTGGGCGCTGGGTGAGCCTGTAGAGATTTTCTTGCCCTTGCTGTCCATGACTTGTAATCAATGGAGTCGTTGAATTGCTGATTGTAGATAGAGCGTAGTTGCTGGGAGTTTGGTCTCTGGCCAGCTCTCATACCATGTTGGGCTGAGAAAAGCCCTTAGGATCTTTCCAGAGACTAAGTCCCAGTTGAAGAATGAGACTTGAGTAGTGCAGCGGAAGTTGAGGCAGTTGAACCCTTGTACTAGTATATGAGAACAAGTGATTGGTTAAAGAAACAAGCATACAGCAATATATAGAAAATAGGAAAGTAAAGCAGTTGTAGAATACAGTTGCAGGAGCGGTTATCGAGTCGCACAGCGACTCGATTGTCGCTTTGGTTACCATTTGTGCAGTTGTAACGGTCAGTCGCAACCTCCAGTTGCGACCCTTCGAGTCCCTTTGCGTTCTTTGTCCACCCCCTTGTGTAACCTCCGTTGACTCGCGTACCCGTTGCGATCTTCCTCGAGTGTAGTGTTATACTTCAGAAACGCTTAAGTACTTTGAGGTATTTCCAACAGCGTAGTACTAGTGTTTGCCTTGCGTACCATATTGTGTAATCTTGATTCTAGTGAATTTGTGTGATTCTAGTGAATTTGTGTGCCCAAGCTTTCTCAAAAGCTGCTCAGTGAGACACACAATTCTGAAGGCAACTTTCTCCTTAGAGAGAGCTCTATCTGCGTCAGGCACTTCCGCAGAAGCTCCCGTTATAGCAGAAAACTCTGCATGGTAGGCGAGCTCGTTAAAGCTCCTCCAACTAAAAGCGTGTGCACCCTCAGATCTGTCAGGTAAAATTTCCAGCATGACTACCACGCCAGAAACCTCTGCTTGTCGTAGTGTTGGGAACGTGACTCTGGAGGAGTTTGACGAGTTGCAAGCTAGGGCGGCTACAGTGACGACACTGTAGGCTCAGCTTCAACAACTCGCCGATAAGTTCGAGTTGCTAGAAAGCGAAGTACAGACGCTGCGCAACAAAAACTCGTCGCTTCGCCAGACGCGGGGTGAAACGCGTCAAGGGCGACCTGTTACCCGGAACGAAGATGCTGCGAACCAAGCGAGGGCGTTGGCGACACCTAAAGTAGTTGAAGTCCAAAGCGAACTATGGGCATCCATTAAAATCAAACCACAAATGCCTCCGCCGTTCAACCCGACCGACAGGACAACAACAGTGAGTGGGTGGCTGTTCGCCATGGAAATCTTCTTCACGGCAGCAAGTATTAATGACAATGCATTACGTGTCAACTTGGATGTGTCGCTGCTGAGGGGACCGGCACTCGACTGGTGGCGCATGCATCTTGACGAGGGAGGAGCCATGGTAGGAAATCAACGGGCGGCAGATGGGGAGCTAAGTTCACCAACAGCGAAGGCAGAACCAATCTTTGGATCGGCCATGATCCGCACGTGGAAAACGTGGGGTGAAGCGTTGAAGGGCGAATTCGAGCACATATCCATGCGCGAAAATGCTCGCACAAAGCTTCGGATGTGGAGAAAGTTGGGCTCTATCCAAGAATACACGGCGTCGTTTCTGGCAATCTGCGACCAGATCGGAAGGCTTAGCGAAGACGGGAAATTCGATCGCTACGTGGGTGATCTCAAGCCGGACATTCAGCAAGAGATCGCCCTGCGAGCCCCAGCGACTTTCAACGAAATCGTTCGCGTAGCAGACGCGCTGGACTCGCGAGATCGGGTTTCCGGGAGGGAAATCGCTTTCGAGGCCAGCCCCAACACACATTTATCAATGGCGTGGACATGTTTGCAGCCCGAGTATTTTCGGGGACCTGCTTCCACTGCAACCAGCCGGGTCACATGGTGAGGGACTGCCCGCAGCTGAAGAAGAACTTACCTAATGACAAGAAGCATTCGGGAAATGGAGATCGTCAGTAGCAGATGGGCCACCTACTGACTTGACTGCGTCGCCCAAACGCCAACACCCCCACCAGGTTATAGTGCCGATTTGGGCTATCGACCATTCCTGGCTGAATAAGGGGGCTGAACCGGTTGATCGCCCTGTGCTGGTTGAAGGGAGAGTTGGAGACACCCGCGTCAAAATATTCGTTGATGGTGGGGCAAGCCACAGTTTGATAGATGTGACGAAGGCGAAAAAATTGCGACTGCAACGGGAGCGGTGCATGCCTGAAATCAACGCGCGATTGGTCGACGGCACACCATTGGCAATTCGGGAGCGAGTACCTCACGTGCGAGTTACATCCGGCGAAAATTTCAGCTTCACGACGAAGATGCTGGCGACAACTTTGGACGGCTGCGACATGCTGCTGGGACGCGATTGGCTGCGTGGATACAACCCGAGCATCGACTGGCGGACAGGCGACTGTCGCATAAAATGGAGTGGCGAGTGGCGACGACCACCCAAATGGAGCTGTCGAGACTCGACGACATCGACGGTCAGCGCGGTAACGAAAAAGCGAGCTATGATTCGCGGGGCGCAACTGTACGCCGTCCGATGGATCGCACCAACAACTCTCCACACACCAGCCGACATCGACAAACTCAGCGCAGCTATCCCAAACGATTTGGCGAACGTCATTCACAGGCACGCCGAAATTTTCCCAGACGACCTACAGGCGGGTTTGCCACCTGAACGAGACCACGACCACAAAATCGAGTTGGAACCCAGCGCGCAGCCGACTATTCGGACGCAGTGGAGGCTGACTCAGTCGGAGCTCGACGAACTTCGAAGCGAGCTGGATTACCTGCTCGAGAAAGGTTTTGTTCGTCCAAGCACATCACCGTTTCCAGCTCCGATCCTGTTCACCACGAAGAAATATGGCAGTCTACGAATGTGTATTGACTACCGCGCCTTGAACTGGGTTACCATCAAGTCCCGCTATCCTATCCCGCGTGCCGACGAACTCATCGACCAACTTCGCGGAGCCAAGTTCTTTTCGAAAATTAACCTGCGAGGCGGTTACCACCAAAACTGCGTGAACGAAGCTGACTGCTACAAGACTGCGTTTCGGACCCGGTACGGGAGTTACGAGTACAAGGTTATGCCTTTTGGCTTAACAAATGCGCCTTCGACGTTCCAGTTAACCATGAACGAGGTTTTTCGGCCACTGCTGGATAAATGCGTCATCGTGTACCTTGACGACATCCTGATCTATAGCACTACCCGGGAGCAGCATTTGAAGGATTTGGAAGCAGTTTTCTCTCTTTTCCAGCAGCACCGACTCATCACCAAGGGCTCTAAGTGCGAGTTTCTAAAACAGGAGCTGGAATTTTCGGGACAATTTATTTCCATCGATGGTGTTAAAATCGACCCTAAGACTTGAAGCCGCCGGCTAATCTCTGAGAACTTCAGAATTTTCTATGGTTTGTGAATTACGTCCGTCGGTTCATTCCGAACATGACGGGGGTAACTTCCCCTCTCACGGATCTCCTGAAGAAAGGCACGTTTTATGAGTGGGGGGGAGAGCAGCAGGCTGCGTTCGAACAGCTCAAAATTTTCCTCACTACACCTCCGGTTCTTCGGATTGCTGATCCTCACCGTCCGTTCGAGCTCATCACCGACGCTAGCGATGTGGCCGTTGGCGCAGTACTGTTACAAGACTTTGGCAAAGGCCTCCAATCCATCGCCTACGAGTCACGAAAGCTGAACCCGGCCGAGCAAAATTATCTTGTCCACGATAAGGAGTTACTCGCCATCATTCATGCCTTCAAAGTCTGGCACTACTATCTGACCGGTGCTGACATGACAGTACGAACAGACCACAAATCGCTAAGTTCATCCGCGCCCAACCGACACTAAATCCCCGACAGATTCGCTGGCTCGATTACCTCGAGTCCAATTTCCACTACAAAGTCACCTACAAACGGGGAGTTAGCAATATCGCCGATGCATTGACCCGCCCTTTAGTCCACACCGCCGCAGTCCTAATTACCCAAGCTAATCTGCTGCGAACTGGCCTATTCACCCACGGATACAGTACCGACCCATTCTTCGCCACTAACAGTCATCCCCAATTACCTAAAATCCGGTACCAATCAGTTTTAGGTTTCTCGCCTACTGTACCCTATGCAAACTGCTAATACAAGAGGCACATGACTCGAATTTCTCGGGTCACTACGGCATCGACAAAACCGCCAAATTACTGAGCCGTAATTATTACTCGCCCGATTTGCCGACAGACGTGCAGCTGTACGTCACTTCCTGCGCCACGTGTCAACGCATGAAGTCGTCCCGACTTCGACCTGCGGGATTGCAGCAGCCACTCAAGCCACCAGCCGACCCTAGCAACAAGTGACGATGGATTTTGTCACCGGCCTGCCAGCTGGTCCAAGATGGCTCACTTCGCCGCCTGCAAGACGACAATTATTGCCGAGCAGACAGCGAAACTGTTCCTCACGAATATCGTGCGACTATATGGCATCCCCTCGGCAATCATCAGTGATCGTGACCCACGGTTCACGTCCAACTTCTGGACAAGAAGATGGCAGCAGTACGGCACACGTCTGCATCTGTCCACGGCATACCACCCGCAATCAGACGGCTAGACTGAGCGCACCAATCAGACGATGGAGTAGCTGATTCGTACGACGTGCACAGACCTGGCCCAATGGGAAGATGCCCTTCCCTTGATCGAGTTTGCATACAACAACGCCTCATCGGCCACGACTACTCAGTCCCCGTTCTTCCTCAATTACGGGATAGATCGGACAACCCCGCTATCGCCACCGCTAGAAAACCCGGCACCAAGATCTCAGCAGTTCGTTGAAAATCTCCGACAGTCTCAGCAAAAAGCAGCCGATGCCATCCTCAAAGCCAACAAGATGGCTAAGCAACCAGTAGACAGATGACACCGAGACTTAACACTTGCCCTTGGACAATTGGTCCTGCTCGACACCCGAAATTTGGGAATTCCCCTCCCAAATAAATTACAACCAAGATTTTGCGGCCCATTCCGCATCATCCGCATGGTGACACCAGTCGCCGCCCAGCTGCAACTACCGGCCGACTGGCGAATTCATGATTCATTCCACGTCAGTCTCCTGCGACCGTTCATCCTGAGTACGACTAATCTCGACCGTCAACACATCAAACCTACGGTCAACCCAGTACCTGAGCCGACGATCGAGCCATCCAAGATTCTCACTCATCGCGCACGAGGCCACCGAGATACAGAAGCCGTTGATTTCCCTGTACGATGGGTCGATCGCACAACTGGCGACAAACTTTGGGTCCCCGCAGCTATGCTCGGCAAACACAAGTCGTCCGGGACTATTTACACCGACGACGTATCCCGGATGTGGGTAGTCTCATCCCAGAAGGGGGGGTGGTGTAAGGAAATTCCCTTTTCCTTAATGGGCTCGATTACAGTGCGTACGCCCTCGACTCTTGGAAGTCCAGGCTCGGCCAACTTCTTCGATCCCGAACCATTTTGTGAACCCAAACCTAGACGCGCGGCGCTTCCATGGCTTTCACCAAGCGGACCGCCCCAACCTGTTCGCGTGGTTCTTGGCTAGCTCTGTCCGTGCCTATAAATGCCTAGGCCCTCATTTGTATCGACACTCTTGAATCTCGACTCCTTTATTACACTACCTGTTATTACTCTCATTAATTTATAACATCTCTGATGTTCTAGGGTAGGGGCTCTTTGTAAGGAATTACAATTCCTTACTTGGGCTCGCTATAGTGAGTACACGCGAACAGCGCGCGTCCGCAGGCTCGGCCCTTGGTTATCGCGCCAAACCAGCCCCCGTCTACCTTTTCAGCCCCAACCTGACCCCGAGTCACCCCGAACCCGTTTTGACC